TGGACACATCTACGTGGTGTTCCTCGACGAGAATTTTCCACAAGGTAAACGTTAAACACGGTAAGCTTTGGGTATATTACATGGGTTGTTGAGCTGCAGAGACTTCAAAGGCACCTTAGAAGTTTTTTGTTTCTTAAACAACAGCCACCATTGCGTTCAAATTTTTGTCCTGATCTTGGAGTAGATCGTTGATTAAAAACTTTGACGCAGTCTGGTAAAGAAGGCTAACTACGGTTTTTCCCGAAAGGCTTTTCAAGATTTTCAAATTCCGTGGGAGCAGAACATAGTCTTTTCACTTCACAAGTGCTGGATATCGTCACGCCCGCGGCCGGCCTCAAATACCTTTTCTTTCCCGAGGCAGGAGGTGTCAGATCCACATGCAATGCATCCGATGCCTGCAAGGTACGTAGGGCGTCATCTGATAGCAGATCTGCCGTCGCCATTCCCATGGTATAGCGAACGACGATCCTGATAACAAAAAGCACTATGACAAGCAAGATTTTGTTGAGCTTAACCGGCATTGTCGAGAATTAAGCTTCCTGGAGGATTAAAGCAAAATGGAGAATGGAGGAGCTTGTAAGACCTCATCCAGGGACGGATCAGATGCCAAAAATATTGGTCGGTTGAGAGTAGCTCGAATATGCAAGAATGCTTCATGTTCATTTTCATTGGCACCATCCTAAAAATGCAAACAATCCCGTACTTTTTCACAAGATCAAATATGAATATGTGTTTGGTACTGGCTATAATAGCTAGCAATTTGCTCGTAACTCAATTTACTATACCATGTTCTGAATTGCGCATTTTTATGCGGCGATGGTGTTGAGTGGTGAAACGTGTCAGTGTCGTCTAATGGTTAGGACGAGAGCTCCAAACGCCCGGGATGTAGTATATGGATCCTTCCTCTGATATCTCCTTTACTTATTTTGCCTCTCTCTTTCGTGTCTATTGCGGCTAGATAGAGACGTGTAGACGCGTTTTCTGCAGCCTTCAGGCAACACGCCTATACTTACTAATACGTCTTATAACTTTTGATTTTATATAAGTTTGAACAACAAGCGCTTTCCTTTCCCAGAAGATCCACTATATTAATCAGTCACTAGTGTGGCCAGTCACACTTAAGAAGTGTACGGGAGCACCCCGTTAGTGATGTGGATGAACAGGATGCGTACCGACAGTGCCACAGTGGATGCCGTTGAGACTTCAAAACCTAAAGCAGAAGACGATCATGCGTCTGATGCTGGCAACTATTCAGTCGTCTAACCTTGCGGGTTCACGTGGCTCGATGCCACGTGAGGGTAGTGACCTAGAGTTAAAGGTCCACTTCTCTGCCGAGTTGGATGATGCATCCGAAATGTACTGCTTCTCTAAGCTTGCCAGAGGATGTGACTCCCAAACAAAGGGCCGTGACGGTCTGAGTGAATTAAACCACCCAGATGTTTTCGGGTCGTCTGATAAATCAGACAACTCGTTTTTTGAGCCAAATTTTTCTAGTTCGGTAAGGCGATGACGGTATTTGTACTGACATCACAAGGAAGGATAGAGACCGCGGTCTATTGCGTGTCGATTCTATAAATCAAGCCGTGGATGTCGTCACAGCATTTACTGGATCGCTCCCAGCGATCGCGACCGAATTTGGTTATTCGACCGGCCTTAACGCCAGTGCAAAAGGTTAGCGCACTTAGTCAGAACTTTACATTGAAGTCTTGTTAAACATAAATGAGTACAGCGGGAAGAACAAAGGTGATACAGACCTAAAACGCGTTTGTACACAACGTGGAGTCGTTGGTCGCGAAACGGCTTGAAAATTTGCTGTAATACGCAGTAAGTCTTAGAAGAGGTCTCCAAACGGGGCACGCTATCAATTGCATCGGTTGTCAAGAGAGACTGGGTTACCATGCTTCTCTTGGGCGACTCGTGTCAGGATTGTACTAACAACTTGAATCGAGAGTTCGAGGAGGCCTTACCTCCCTAATGAGCCCGGTGACGAGTTCGCATCTCCTCTGAGATGTATGAAGAAATTACCAATTTATAATCCCTTTACGAGCGCGCTGGGCGCTCGCTTCCGATGCCCCTCTCGTGCCATTGAAGCGTCTCCTCATACTACTCAACGAGGCCAAAAATATTCGCCAGCAGTTAGTGCGAGATTCCCAGCTGTCCGCGGAAGGCGAATAGCCGTGAACCGAACGAGGCAACTCGTCCGACGTCCCTCGACTCATTACGTGCGTCCATTCTTCATTGGTCAGCGCGTTGGCAGATATCATTGCCTATATCAGCCAGTAGGAAAAGGGCATCTCCAACTTAAACAAGATACAACGACAATTCTTGTGCGATAATATTGCTTAATATAATTTGCTAAGTTAATATTTCACATTGGCGTCTAATGTGAATGCCAATGTTAGGTAATGGGGTCACTCCGATAGAACCTTCGCTGGTGATCATCAATAAAAAAGATTTGTCGAACATATTAGATCCACACCTTCAATAAGAAGCATAACTCTGTACGATCGTTAGCTGTTTGTTCTTTACTCACGGCATGCTGGTGCACTTTCGGATACAATAAGGCTGGAGCTTGTACTGCTAAAAACACTAATTACAGTATAAAAGTCCATGCATTAGCCGATTATGTGTTTACTTCAATTTCTTAGAGGCCAAATCATTTATTTGCGGCAATTAAATCTTGTATAATTGATAGCCTGGAACGTCAATTCTGTTTGTTATCGCGTATGTGAATGATAAAGAGCGATCAGATTGTCAATTAAGTCCTCATGATTACACAATATCATCAATATGCTTTTACTAAAACAACATCAGTCTGCTCGTGTACTGTATGTGAATGATAGAACCAATCTATATCAGAATGCAAAAAGAAAACATCAGCCACCTTTCTGTTATAATTGACCTCTTACAATGAATACTACCTCTATCCTATAATATAATGTTATATTCAATATAACCTCTTTCTCCTATTACTTAATGTACCCAATTGTATCCATCGATCCTTTTTCCCTCATTTGTCAATTTTCTCCCATGGCTCAAATTCGCCCTCTCAAGTCTCATTCGTACTCAAATTTGGATGAAGTGACATTCACTCACCTGAATTGGGTCCTTGCACTGGATTTTACGACCCAACAGCTCATAGGTTCTGCCGAGTATACCTTCCATCATACATCTACTTCATCCTCTGCTCTTGTGGTCTTAGATACGCACCATTTGAACATATCCAAGGCTTATGTCGATGACAAGGAGACAACGACCTTCACTCTTGCCGACCCCGTGCACCCCGTTTTTGGACGAGCCCTACTCGTCACGGTCCCGTCTCATGCTACCAAACTTCGTGTGGACTACACGACCTCTGCCGCTTCCAGTGGGTTACAATGGCTTAGTAAAGAGCTTACAGCGGGGAAGACACATCCCTATTTGTTTACACAATGTCAAGCCATTCATGCACGTACAATTATACCGTGTCCGGATACCCCAGCTTGTAAATTTACGTATACTGCAACGGTGACTGTTCCTGATTGGTGCACGTGTCTGATGAGTGCAATTGCTGTTCCAGGAGAAGAAAAGAGGGATGTTTCTAGTAAAAACGAGACGTACCAAGTCTCTTTTCATCAATCTGTTCCCATTCCTTCCTATTTACTAGCAATTGTTGCTGGTAAATTAGAAAGTGTTGATCTTGGACCTCGTAGTCGAGTCTGGGCAGAACCGACGGTAGTGACAAAAGCTGCTCATGAGTTTGCACAGACGGAAGCTTTTTTGCAACATGCTGAAGACATTACAGGACAAGAATATGTTTGGAAACGATACGATCTTGTCTGTCTCCCCCTTCGTTCCCATACGGAGGAATGGAGAATCCGTGCTTGACATTTGTAACACCAACTTTACTAGCAGGCGATCGTTCTCTTGCTGATGTCGTGGCTCACGAGATTTCCCACTCGTGGACGGGAAATCTCGTCACGAATCGATCGTGGACGGACTTTTGGCTCAATGAAGGCTGGACAATGTGGCTCGAACGCAAAATACAGACTCCGTATTGCGCAGGATCCAAATGCTTACGATCTCAAGGCTGCAATTGGTTTGCGTGACCTTGTGGAAGCGGTGGAAGAATTTGGACCCATGCACCCTTTTACGGCACTGGTACCTAATACGGACGGCATTGACCCTGATGAGATCTTTTCGTCGATCCCGTATGAAAAGGGGTTTAACTTTTTGCATTACCTGTCGACGGTAGTTGGAGGTCATCAAGTGTTTGACAAATTTGCGCAGGCGTACATTCAAGAGTTCAAGTACAAGACAATCACGTCAGGTGAATTCCGTGCATTTTTCGAAAAGTACTTTGCCGAACAGACAGAAGCATTGAGCAAAATTGATTGGGAAACGTGGTATCATGCGCCTGGCATGCCGCCTGTTGCAAACAAGTTTGACACGACTCTTACTAGCCAAGCGACGAATCTAGGCGAACAGATGACTGCAAACAGTGACTCAGACACGTGGACGAGCGTCAGTCAGGATGTGCTAAAGAAGTGGCCGGCCACTCTGTGGATTTTGCTACTAGACACGTTATTGTTGAAGCAGCAAGACGTGACGTTTACGGCTGCGCATCTAGATGTGATCGATTCCTTCACACACCATCACCTGACTACTACGCACAATTCAGAGCTTCGATTCCGCTGGTACACGTTATCTCTTCGCTCGGGCGACTTGCGTGTGCTTGACAGGACTGTCGAGATGCTTAAGGAACAGGGCCGTATGAAGTTTGTACGTCCGCTTTTCCGAGACCTATGCACTGCCCTGGGTGCTGCCCAGGCTGAGGCCATCTTTGCGGATTGCAAGAACTTGTACCACCCGATTGCAGCTAAGATGATCCAGCGAGACATTGAGAACAGTATCGCGAAGTCTAAAAGCAGCAAGATGAAGTTCGCGTCGCCGACGACGCCAAGTGCTCTGGCGCAATGGCTGGGTGTGTCGGACGAGGTTGTGAATTACACCGCTGTCGCAGCTACCGTTGCGGTGGTGGCACTAATTGTCATGTCTCGCCGTCAATAAGTGAGTACGAGGGCGCACTAATTCCGAATGATTGGTGGCCAGAACAAGCTGGATTGAATGAAGAAGCAGCGAGGGTAAACTGAGTGATGATTGCAGCCAGGAATCGTAGCATGAAATGTAGGAAGAATTTTGCAAGCTGAAATTGTTTCATTCTGATGCAGATATTCGCTGGCATCTGTGCAAGTGCAAGAACCCACGCTCATCTTCATCGTAACAGATGCTGGAATCGCATCCATCTCGTCGTTCTTGTTGGGCTTTCAAGCAAACAAATCTCATGGATCTCTTTTCATGTCAAATACGCGGCATTTCGCTGAGATGTTCTTGAAGAAGACGTTAAAAACCTTAGCCACCTATATCTTGAAGTACTATTTTTCGCTATAGTTTCGCTGTAACATGGGATGCAGTAGAACTCAAGTAATGGCCGCCTCTAAACACCTGATAGAAAAAAACGCTGCAATCTGAAGCGAAGATATGTCTCGCCCATAATAGACAATTGCTGCCAATTTTGCACCATTGTTTGATGTTGATTAGGCCAGAGTCTGGGTAGCACTAGTAACACTTTGCAGTAGAAGACATTGGTTGAGAGAATTGACAGGCTGCACTAAAAAGCTGATGTGATCAACATGTACTCAACTCTACTCCAAGTAGTGATGGCAAGACAACCATTCGTGTGTCAACAGATATGGGCATCGCGTGTTAAGCAGTGGATTGAAATAGACGTAGGCCACGCGATCCTCCCATTTATACTGGACGAACTCCATGCGCTACATGTCGTTTCTTTGCGGCCTCGCAGTACGTTGGCCTCTGAAACTTATCAACGGGCTCAGCGTTTCAGCTTCTCCCATCACGCGTCGATAGTTTACTTTCGGACACACCATGTCTCATTGAGAGCTGTTTCATATAAGCTGTTAGTCACTTATACTTTTGCAATCACCTCCATCAATTGCATACACGACTTTGTAAACATTTGCTACGACCCTCGTACTGTTGTTTGTCCATTTACCATGCCATCGCTTGACCACCTCCTGTGCGCCAGTACAATTGAAAAAAAATCAAGAAGTAGTCTTGATAGCATGTGCAGCTCAAATCAGCATAATGCATTGCCAACTGATCCTGGAACGAAGCCCAACTCGCGGAGATGCAATGCCCCGAATTGTCGGAAGACTGCCAAGCGGGGTGGACGCTGCATTGCACACGGAGGTGGAAATAAATGTGCTATTGATGGCTGCACCACTAGTGTGGTTAGTCGAGGGCTTTGTGTCGCTCACGGCGGTGGTAAGCGATGCCAAGCTCCAACTTGTGCCAAGAGTGCTCAATCTGGAGGGTTTTGCTGGGTTCATGGCGGTGGCAAGAAGTGTGGCTATCATGGTTGCCCCAAGCGTGCCCAAAGTGGTGGTGCCTGTATTGCTCATGGTAAGCCATCAGCACTTGCTTGAGAGGTATAAACATTGTACTAACGTTTTTAAATTGCTGTCTTGATTCAGGTGGTGGTAAGCGATGCCGTATCGGTGGGTGCAACAAGGTTGTCCAGTACGACGGACTCTGCGTGGGCCATGGCGGTTACCGTAGATGTGTTTATACGAACTGTGATGGACGCGCCATGGCCAACGACTATTGTCAGCGACACGGTGGTTCCTCCGTTTGTCTGTTGGGACGCTGTTACAAGCGTGCTGTACGTGGTGGAATGTGTACCGAGCACAAGGCTGAAGCATCAGTGCAAGCGGTGACTACAGGTAGATTGTCGACACCCAGTCAGACATTGGACGATGACCAGGATCACCAGATAGACCGATCTGCGAATCAATATCCTCTGACGACCGAATGGCGACGCAGGACGAATTCAACAGATCTTACAAACAACAAATGCTCACCCGGATCAGGTATCACTCCTATATATGAAAAGGTATCGTCACCTTCATCACCACTTGCCAAATTTGCACATGAAGACGAGAAGGATACGAATCAGAGAGAAGACTCGCCTCTTGTACCAGGGTTCTCGGCTCTTTTGGGTGCAGATGGCAACTTTGCGTCGTTTCCAAGAATACGCTATCCACATCAGGAGCAAAACGTTTATCCTTTGCTACCGAGCATCCGATCTTTACAGACTCATCGAGCCGGTATTGCAGTTCTCAAGAATAGTCTCACTTCGCCCACAACTCCAAATCTTCGAATCGTTGTCAATCACGATAACGCTTCCTTGAAGTGGGAACCCACCACTGGAAGCGAGCCTCAAGAACGAACAGACTCGTGTACGAACTCGGATGAATTAGCAGCACACAAGTTATTCGTGCACTCGTACTATTACAGGACCAACAATGGGTCATTCCCGTGTGCGACGACACCACCACATCGACACAATTGGGGCACTCATCACGTTCGATAATCTACTTCGACTAACACAACAACCTTTGACGGCTTTTTGAGATTCTTTTGAGCGTGGCTATTGTGGAAAAGCTAAGCTAGTGCGTGCTATTGCAGTAGAATGTAAGGACAATGACACCCGAAGTGACCAGCGTAACTCAAGGAAGTACGTTTTAATCAGAACCGGAGACAATAACCAACTACTCTACGGTGTTATAGGTACATGACTACATATTAAACAAGAAAAGCTTCTTTGTTCGTGCGTCCGGATGAAAGAAGGAGGACGATTGTCACCTTCACGTGATCGAAAGCCTAAAATACTATTTTTCTAGCTTTAGTAATATCAATAATACTGCACCATTCGATACTATTTTGGTTTAGTCAATAACTCATATTAACGCTACTACTAGTTTGCATTACAAATAATTTATTACAAGTCAGCACAAAATTTCAGCAATATACCCCCAAGGATTTAATATTAAACCGTCTATTCGAATAAATTGTAGTATAGTTTTACAAGATGTTTTTTATACATTCATGTTTTTCACACCATGTTTCTAATTCCCCGATCACGTTTCTATATGAAATTCACATATTTAGAAGTTTTCCCTCACTTATCATCAGACCACGTACTTGCCCAAATGAATATGAACATGGATCCAAACACTATGAGCCCGTGGTTCACAACATCTGCGGAAGATTTTCCGCCCATGAATGCACAAGCACAGCAGCCAATAGCTACTACTGATTTCCATTCATTGGCGCCAGGCTCGTCCAATGAACTTAGTGGAACTGTTGGCTCTGCCGCTGGTTTCTATGACGACGTCGACGAGGCGAACGAGTTTGCTAATGAACCGCCCCTATTGGAAGGTACTCTTTTTTTGAAATTTCTAAAAGAGAGGTGTCTATTTTTTGTTTTTCTACTTTGGCTAATTTACCCATTTCTATTTTTGGGTAGAATTGGGGATAAATTTTGAGCACATTTGGGCCAAAACGGTATCAGTGCTACTCCCGACCAAACAGATTAATGAACACATTCTGGATGATGCCGACCTGGCTGGACCACTTGTTTTTTGCTTTCTTTTTGGCATGTGTTTGCTATTGGTACGTCATTGATAGAAAAAGAGACTACTAATTATTATTTATGCAAGATGAAAAAAATTGTACTTACATTTTATACATTTGTACTCATGTATTGTAACTTTTAGGCTGCAAAAGTTCACTTTGGATACATTTATGGCTTTGGCGTGCTCTCGTGTCTTTTCATGTACCTGCTCATGAATTTGTTGTCTCCTGAACGGATGATTGACATTTATCGAGTGTGTTCCGTGCTTGGTTATTGTTTGCTGCCGATCATTGGCCTAGCAGCGATCAACATTGTGGTCTCAGTAAAGGATTTGGGTATTGCTGGCTTTTTCTTAGCTAGTGTATGCACTTTGTGGAGCACACACACGGCCTCGCGGTTCTTTGAAAAGGCTTTGTACATGACGGAGCAAAAGTATCTCGTCATGTACCCGACCATGCTCGTGTATGCCTGCTTTGTGCTTATTGCCGTGTTCTAATCGTCCTATGGCGAACGAGACTTGTACGTACACCTACTTGTACGTACATTTGTACGCACATACAGATATATATACGTTTGTTCCATGAAAGAGAGATTCCAATGGTGTATATGAACGTTTGTTTTGTTTCCTGCTCTCAGATATATATATGCCAAACCTACCTATATCCATCCATTCCACGATAAACTCAACTCAGCTTTAGAGCGGGCCTCGTACAGGTTTAATTGAGAAACTCAAGCGAATAGTCCTTGTAAAACGCTTGTACAGCTTCCTCGTTGCGGTTCACGTCAGCCAGTAGCGCCATGAAGTCGACGCTCTCTGAGGCAAGCAGCGCCTGCACCTTCGTTTCATCCTCGCAAGACACCATAGCCGCAAGAGTCGAGCCAATCAGCTTTGCGGCCTTGCCATTGTAGCACAGGTGCTCCGACATAGACACAAGCTGTGGAACCGTAATGCTACCCGCGACCACAGAAGGAGCCACCATGACACTCAAGTATGGAAGCGTCTTCGGAATGTCAATCTCTATGTCCTCAGCAGCCTCCAGCAACTCCTGCAGCGCGCTTTCCAAAGCAGCGCCAGTCACGACCTTACGATCGTACAGACCAGCCAAAAACCCTGCAATTGCCTCTCGCTCTTTGTCGCCCTTGTCCAGGCCAATGCTCAAAACCTTGGAAGGGATCAAGGCGTAATGGTTTGAGGCGTTGAGCTCGGTGAAGCTCGCGTATGCCTCTTCCAAGTCCTCCAACTCCACATATTCATCAAGAATAGCCTTCACCTTCTTTTCAAAAGCTTCAGCCGTAAGGGCTGAAGTAGCCTCAGCCTCGGGTGCCTTCGCAGACTTGGCAGGTCGGCCATTGTTCGACTTGGTCGAAGATGACGTAGGCGGGAGGCCAACGTCCTCACGTCCACGTGAAGAGCGCGATGATGTGGACGAAGAGCTGTTGCTGCGACCGCGCTCCCTACGTCCATTCTCCTTTCCAGTCAAGAAAGCATAAGTGTTACCAGTAAGGTGAGCACCACTCGGGTGACGGGGTGCACCAGAAGAGGGAGCAGTGATCCGGTCCGAATTGCTGCGGT